TTTCTTCATCCCGACATCTTCAGTTTTGTATTTATTTTCAAGCGCATTCCACAATTCTTTTGATGTCTCCACGCCACTGTATACATTATACATATTATCATCCAGTACGCTAAGAATATAATTCTTGCACAAAAAATCAGAATGCTTCCACGCCTCAATCACGAGAAAGCTTTCATTCTCTAGAGTTTCATTTCGCAAATCAGGATCATCTTCCTTGATGAACTTATGTAGACATAACGTAGTCAAGTAGAAGAACATCTTCTGCTGCCAGCGTTTGAAATTAATCCCCGAAAATTTTTCGGGTTTCTTTGCCGGTGCCAACGCCGGTGTTCGGCTTGTTGATGCGTTGGCTGTCATCATCGGAACAACTCGATTTCCGTTGTCATTTTCCATTTCTGTAAAAGAATGACACAAACAAACGTTTAAACTTGGAGAAAACAAATCACGTAGATTTTAATTTCTAACAAACCGCCACGAAGACTTTACTCTCCAAATGGGAGTACCCAAAACCACAAAGGTTTTAGTTTCTAGAATAATAAGAATAATACAAATACAAAAATTAAAATTGTTAAATTCCTTAAGCTTGTTAATACTCCTAGTATCCAAGGTTATGGATTATTTTCTCCCAGGGTAGAACGAATTACACACTGGTGTAGCGGTACTTCAAACCCAGTGTTTCAGCGAACACAAAGTTCGGCAGCAAATCACACTTACGGTTGCTTTATTTGTAGTTTAAAGCAATGCACAAGAAAGGTGGAGAACTCAGAAGTCTATTGGAAATTCTGAGAGGAAGGAATGCAATTTATAGCCAATGTTGAGCGATAACATAAGAGGAAATCAGATTGCTCGTTGCTTTTTGTTTTCTGTCCGTTTTTTCTGTTTTTCAACAAGCTGCTGGCACCTTTCTTTTATAGTGTAATCAGCTGGTAAACACACTCATTTGGTGAAACATTTTCTCATGGTGGCTGCACTAAGGCTTTTAATTAATGGAGGAAGCACTCATGGTGGCTGGAGCACTAAGGCTTTTATTTAATGGAGGAAGCAAGCAACATGGTGGAATGAGCACTTGCTCATTAATATTCACGGATTGGAAAATATCTGTTACAAACACGGATAATATTACATTAATATTCACTATTAACAAATAAATTTGGTCCAAAAAATTAATCAATCAATCAATCATTTGACCAAATCCAAATCTGAAGCTGAAGCTGAAGCCGAGCCGAGCCGAGCGAGCGACAACGACGACACGAGGCTTGCCTTCTTCCTAACTCTTTAAGAGTTACATGAAGCATTTGGAAACATAATATTTTACTCAAAATATTCATTTCTCCCCATTTCCCATTCACCCTCTTTTTAATACCTTTCCATATTAAAAAGAAACTCAACAATCCCCCACATGAATGGGGAATGGCTATATCACGGAAGTATGCATGATAAACTTATGTGATTTGCAAGCAAGGATTAATTGCATCTGGCTAAGTAGGTTTCCCTTTGAACTTTCCGTAGTGAACTTATGTCGGATGTACTCAGTCAATCGGTAGATTTAATATCTTTGAACCGTCAAACTTTAGTGTATACCTAGACAACCATAGTCACACAATCAACCCTTAACTGTCTTTGGTTCTCATTGTTGTGTTCGTTTCTGCCATGAACACCGCCTGGTTTCATAAGTGCGTAGAGAATTGGCCTTGCAGAATTCTCCTTGAAGCGGCTAACACTTCACACTTACATAGGTGATTCCTAAACGTGTTGTATCATATATACACAATTTGATATATCTCGTATCAAATTTAGAAATCATTAAAAAGCCTTTATGCTTTACCTTCGGTGCTGAACATTGTCACATCACGAGAATGGACCAAGATTTTTGTTGACAATGTTGAACCGTCATTAATGACTTTGTTTGATCTCCTTGAACCTAGATCTTGGGATCTCTAGTCTTCTAGGTAGAATTACCGCCACAATGACTTGTTCTCGATCATAGTCCCATTTCCCTCGATGATTTCTCAACTACCTCTCTAGTTAGTCCTTTTGTAAGTGGATCCGATACATTATCACTTGACTTTACATAGTCAATCGTGATAATTCCTCTAGAGAGAAGTTGCCTAACGGTTTTTATGTCTTCGTCGTATATGACGAGATTTACCATTATACATAACACTCGCTGCCCTTCCAATTGTCGTTTGGCTATCGCAATGTATGCATATTAGTGCCAACGGTTTGGGCCAAAATGGAATGTCTTCCAAGAAATTCCGGAGCCATTCAACTTCTTCACCGGCTTTATCTAAGGCTATGAACTCAGCCTCCATTGTAGAGCGGGCAATACATGTTTGTTTTGACAACTTCCAAGATACCGCTCCTCCACCAATAGTGAATACATATCCATTCGCGAACTTAGAATCAGCTGAACCGGTGATCCAATTTGCATCACAGTATCCCTCAATCACCGCAGGGAATTTACTGTAGTGTAAATCAAAGTTCTGGGAATGTTCTAAATATCCCAAAACTCATTTCATTGCCATCGAATAAGATTGGCTTGGATTGCTCGTATATCGGCTCAGTTTACTTATAGCACAAGCTTTATCTGGTCGTGTACAATTCATGATATACATTAAGCATCCCAACACACGAGCATAATCCAATTGTGATATGCTTTGGCCTTTATTCTTTGCTAGTGCAAGATTCACGTCAATTGGAGTCTTTGCAACTTTAAAGCCCAAGTGCTTGAATTTTTCAAGTACTGTCTTACTATAATGAGATTGTGACAATGCCAGATCTTGAGGAGTCTTATGGAAGGTGTAATAATTGAATTAATTATTATTATATGCCGGGGCTACGTGCACACTAGGTGACGAGAGTCTGTGCGTAGCTAGTATTATGTTAAATCCGGGTAGTATAGGACCCAAAAGCATGCTCTACGTGATATTCTTGTAACTTGATGTTTAATTCGGATTCGTATAAATCATGTTGATCAAGGTAATGAGACTAGTAAGAGGAACCTTATCTTCCTTGACCCTTTTTAAAGAAGAATTGAATATTTCTGGAATAACTGCTTCTCAGATATACACTATTGTCTGCTTGTTGTTGAGTTATGTATATTTGACCGCGTCTACTACTAAAAAATTAGGTTTTAGCGATGGACAAATTCTGTAGCTAAATAGAAAAATCTGTCGCTATTTAATTAGCTACGGATTAGCAACGGATTATCAAAAAATTCTGTTAGCTACGAGCATTTTAGCGACATATTAGCGACGACGTTCGTAACTAATTCTAGTTTTTTTGTAGTGGTCGCACGTGTGATTCGCGAGCGGGGTAATAGATGCATCTATGGTTCGAGCCGTTCGACTCTCGGCAGTGCACAATTTATTTTTATGTTGGATCGGATTGTACGACCCTCGACATCTCTTGCGCAAGCTTTAATTAGTATATTTCTGTGGACTGAGCTTCGTATATGCCTTGAAATGTAAATGATTAACTATGATATTATCTGGAAAAAGGAACTGTTACCCCTTACCATGAACTGCTAATTAATTGTACTGTCCATGCTTAGTATAAATATTTTCTCATATTATTTGATTCTAGTAAGTATCAAGTCGACCTCTCTTCTCTACTTCTTCGAGATTAGACGGGATACTTACTGGGTACATATTGTTTATGTACTCATACTACACTTTGGTACTTAATTGTACAGGATTTGAGGCAGGTACCTCTGGCTATCAGTCGGGTGCGCATCCCTGAGCAGGATTCAAGACTTCTACGGTGAGCTGCTTCCCTTCTCGTGCCGTTTAGTAACCTGAAGGAGTCTCTCTTATTTATTTTTGTTGTCTATTCTAGTTTGGACAGTAGGATAGATTGATTCTTTTGTATATTCTACTAGTTGCCCACAACTTGTGACACCAGGTCTTGGCACACACATTAGTAGACTATTATTTTGGGGATTGTATAATTATTTTTGATATATTATTGGTTATTGCTTGTTCTAATCTTAACTTAAGGAATTATTGAAATTATTTGGTAAAAGTAAAATGAGAACTTATTTGATAGTTTCCGCATTGGCTTGCCCGACAATAGTGTTGGGCACCATCATGGCCTATTATGGAAATGGATTGTGACAGCAAAGTACTAGGCCTCCAACTGCAACTAATTGCAAACGAGTTTCTAAAAAGACTCTGACATCTACGTGCTTTCTTAGACAGTTGAACTACCCCTATTCTCTCCATGGTTTCCTTTTTTATCTGTGTCACAACTAACTCTTTATTTACATTTCTTCCCTTGAAAATTTTCCAGTTTATTGCCTTTCACGCATGATACACCATTGCACTCCATACTGCTGTCAACACTTATTTTACTTCTCCCAGCTGTATTGTAGTTCCTAGCCATGGCATTAACTGTTGTCGAACTTCCTTTATCCAAGAGCATTCAGCAAACAGATATCTCGCAATTTCCTGTGTTTGACTCTCACATAGGCAACGGTTAGTATATTGTATCATTTTGATGTATACAATATTTAGATATATTGTATTACTTGTCGTCATTTCATGATGTCATGCACCAATAGTATAAAGAATAAACTTGCAATGTTATATTAAAAAAAATAATACGAGATAGTATTATTATATATAAATGTAGGGTAAAAGATAAAAGATGATTATTTAATAATAAGGAAGGACAAGATGAGAGGAATATATAAGGTAACAACGCGACTACGCCAAATCGATCGTTCTATGACAGCTTGTTTGGATGGTTGTTATGTATCGTTTCATAATGTACTGTATTGTTTTGATGTATACAATGCTTGAATAGATTTTCTTGTTTGCCAACATTTCATGATATCATGTACCAACATTATGAAGAATAAACTTGCAATATTATAAAGAAAAAGTAAGGTACGAAGTTGAATTATTGTATAAAAAAGTCCGATAAAGGATAAAATAACATTATTTAATAATAAGGAAGTGCAAGATGAGAGAAAAAATAAGGTAACGATGCGACCACCATACCAAATCGGTCGTTCCATAAAGTGATGCTTTTCGTTGTTATGTAACGACAAAAATTAAGTAACAATCAAAACAAACATTGAATTTAAAGTAACAATATGATACAATAAGTTGTAAAGCACCCGGCCATCAACACGAAAGAAAATAAGAAAAGTACAGCAGGATTTTGAAAACAAGCGAGAAACAGATAAAGGAGACCTCTCTGAAACTAGGAGAGGATACTCTTATACTATATGTTAGCCGGCATAATCCATTGGTCCATAAGGATCGAACCACTCAGCCAAAAGACCCTTTTTCCTCTTAGGATTCCAGCCCATATCCCTGCACAGTTGGTCATTGTACCAAATATGCAACGTAGCGATGCATGATCTCCTGTAGTTCTTCGAATATGAATATCTCTTCTTGTATTTATCCCATTCTGCTATGTCTTTCTCCATTACCTTGATATTAGGTAGCTTAAATTTTCCATCAAAAAGTTCTGCCAGCCATCGGCATCTTATTTCCGAGGTGTATAGATTTGCATCACTTTCTGAGAATCCAATTATTGCCAGTTGTGGAATTTGGGGATGAATGCATTCCCTGAAAATCATCCGAAATGACATTACTTTCACACAAGATGAGGTTATATACATTCGGATAAATCTGATGAACGTATGCAAGAGAATTCCCACCGCTACACAAGGATTTAATACTCACCTATAGAGAGGAACTGCATCATCATCTTTCCCTACAATGAAGCCCTGGAATTTTGGTGATTCAAAAATGTGTTTGAGCTTATCAATTCCATTGAAGCCAGTAGCGAGTATGACTAAGTCGGATTTTATTGGTTCAGCCTGACCCTCGAGCACGATGCCTTCTTTAGAGAATCCAAAGCTCTTTGCTTTCTTGAGCTTGATACTTCCTTCCTCAACTCTGTCATAAAAGCCCTCAGGCACTATAGAAACTAAACATGAACTCAATTCGCTTAAGAAACTATGATCTGGCACCATTCCATGTTTTGCAAGCCCCAGTTTGTGTTTTATATGGCTTTCTACAAATTTTGAGAAGGCCCACCTCTGTAAAATATGATAGTGAAATCGACTAATTAGCTAGAATTGCATGTTAGTTGTTCGACAGGAAGCTATTCAACAAGATATTTCAAGCTACTCATAAATATTTACCAAAGGTGACAGAGTTGTGGCGAGGAGACTTAGAAGAATGCCTTCGCCAGGTTTATGCACCATAAGTTCGGAGAATCTATTTAGGTAGAGATATTCCAAAGGAAATCCCCATGGAAAATAATCGGGAATGTTCCAATGTGGTGTCCTGGTTATTACTGTGCATGGATATTCAATCCCTGCAAAATTAGTGCAAACAGACTCAAGCTGATGTCTATAAACAAACAATAAAGAGGTCCAGGGAATGGAGGTATAATGGAAAATCAGTAGTAGCCGTACTTACCATTAACTGTGGAGCACTCCATGGCAATGTCCATTCCAGATTTCATGGATCCGATGACGGCTACATGTTTTCCTTTAACCAAGTTGGTTGCAGTTGTTGAGTCCATTTTGGAATAATCCATTGAATGGATAACCTTACCCTCAAAAACTTCGGGACCTTTGTTTAGAGGAAATTCAGGGATGTTTGGAACTTGGCTGAATCTTCCCACGCAAACCACTACAAAATCAACTTGGTATACCTGCAGCCATGAGAGATATGGTCAAACCACAAATTAATAGTATTTCATTATACGAATCTTCTTTTTCCCCGCCCAAACATATCTTCAGCATAGTAAATTCTTATGGCTTGATTGTAACAGCTTCTGATCTGCTTACAAGAAAGCTTTAGTCATTGTAACTGATATACGAATAACATTGTATTGGGAAAAATTGCAAGTGACATGTTGAGACACGTGGACTGGTCAAATAGTCAAAGAATTATAATTAGTCAAGAGGCACGGGTAGCAGTAGAAACGAGCAAAGGGAAAGGAAGAGGCACGGGAGAACATTTGAAGGATTCAGCACCCGTATCTATTTAAATCATTTATCAAAAGGAATGGATCTGACCATAATACAGAGCGCAGATACAAAATTCGACAGGCATTAAATACTGGAGACATTAGAGAATTTGTATTGATTACAATAATTGTGTAACGTAGCATTCAATGTCTTTAATTATTCATAATAGCCTTATTATGATTTGGAAGAAACGCATATCTTAAAGATACCTATAAAATGGAGGTATCTGGTCACTTGTAAACACAAGACACAATTGGAATATACTTTAATTCACTTGTTTTTCTCCTGATTACACTCTGGTTACTCTAAATTACCTTCTTCTACATATTCTTTTGATTATCAGTAACCCGTGTTCTTCTAAATCTAACTTTGACTGAAATTTTATTTTTTGGTTAAACAAATTGGTTCCATTACCGGGAATCTGATAATCTATTTTCTTTTAACTTGATCTTCCTTGTTACATCAATTATGTCGAATAACAATGACAACACCCCAGGAAACCAAGAGAACCAGCAACGTCAGGGAGGCCCACAAAATATTAACATTCAAGTTCCTACTCCGCATGACTCTCCACGACAATCTCGTGAGGGTACTCCTGATGGATCTCAAATAAATGAGTATGCTCAATTTGAAAATGCTGAAGCTGTTGATGAAGCTTTGCAGAAATTAATTACTGCTCAGGTCAACAAAGCTGTTGAGGCGCTTGTTAACCAGTTACCTGTTGCAACACCCACACCTTCTCCAAATAATAACACTATAGAAAACCCTCGTTCCGGGCTTGTTAACTCAGGCAGCGGTGGAACTCCCAGTAAACCGCAGGAGAGAGAACCAGGTAATGTAATTAATTCTGATTTACAAAATTTAGTACTAACCTTGCAGAAACAGCTCAAGGAGCAAAGTGAACGCATAGAGCAGATACCCGGGGTGCCGCCCATAATCAAAGGGGTAGACATGGACAGATATTCGCAACAACCCTGGAAGCCAAGTGCTGCCCCACTCCCAATTCCAAAAAAGTTCAAAATGCCTGATATTCCAAAGTATGATGGAACAACAGACCCACGAGACCACGTGACTGCATTCACAACGGGCGTAAAAGGCAATGATTTGACTAAGCAGGAGATCGAATCGGTATTAGTCAAGAAATTTGGTGAAACACTTACCAAAGGAGCACTAACATGGTATTCCTTTTTACCTGAAAATTCTATAAACTCTTTTGCTGAGCTTGCAGATTCTTTGATCAAAGCACACTCGGGAGCAAAAAGTGGAAAATAGAATGGAGGATATTTTCAAAATTAAGCAAGGAGATTCAGAATTGCTTAGAGAATTCGTGGACAGATTTCAACGCGAAAGAATGACATTGTCGTGTGTACCTGATAACTGGGCAACTATAGCTTTCACAAGCAATTTGAATGAAAAAAGCTCGGAAGCTACGAGGAGACTCAAGGAAATCCTTCGAGAATTCCCAACTACAACGTGGAATGATGTTTATAACAGGTATAGCACGAAGTTGAGGATTGAGGAAGATACTGTTCCCCGATCTCAAAAAGAAGAAAGTATACGTTCAAGACGTGCAGAGAACGAAACAACTATGAGTCACTTGATGATGATAGAAATTTAAAAGCGAGATTCGGAGGTTACAACTTCAACGTCAGCACCTCCGAGCTCGTAGCTGTTTTGAAAAGCATGAGAGATAAGGTTCGATGGCCAAAGGAAATGAGATCGAATCCAAACAGGCGCAACCCTGACCATTGGTGCGAGTTCCATAATGATCACGGGCATAAAACAACAGATTGCAGATTTTTACAATGTGAAGTTGATCATTTATTAAAACAAGGATATCTTACTGAGTTGTTCAGTGAGAAAGGCAAGCAAGCTTACATGAAGAACATTCAGGAGCCTCCAAAACCACCATCTCCCAAAAGAACCGTTAACGTTATAAGTGGGGGTGAAGACATCAATGGTGTGTCATATATTGCAGCTAACAAAACTTCCAAAGTAACTATTACCCAAGGAAAATGGGTGCGGCATGTTCTAGAAGAAGGCAATATTACATTCAATAATGTAGATACAGATGGCGTATTAATCCCTATAACGATGCACTGGTAATATCTTTAATTGTGCATGATACAAATGTGAAACGAGTTTTAATTGATCCAGGTAGTTCCGTGAACATTATTTTGCTAAGAGTGCTACGTGAGATGCAAGCAGAAGATGGAGTAATACCAAAGGTGCATACTCTATCTGGATTTGATAATTCCAGTGTTGTCACAAAAAGAGAGGTAACACTCACCACTTTTGCTGAAGGGGTCGTCAAAGATACAAAGTTTCAGGTAGTAGACATGGAGATGGCTTACAACATGATTCTGGGGAGACCATGGATCCATGAAATGGATGTTGTTCCTTCAACCTTGCATCAAGTTATCAAATTTCCATCGCCATGGGGAATTTGTCAAATTCGTAGAGATCAACATACGTCCAGGGCTATTAACTCCGTTGCAGATACAAGCACAAGAAGTGGAGGCAAATAGCAATCACAGAAGGCAGTTGAAGACATCACAACACAAACCTCAACTGAACAAGGGCGAACAGATATAGACTCAAGGCCTGATACCATTCAAGAACCAGAAGAGAATGAAGATATCAAAACAACGATAGAGGAATTAGAACCTGTCGTGTTATTCGCTCAATGGCCTGATAAAAAAAGTCTATGTCGGAGCTAATCTTGACCAAAGAATGAAAGGTAAGTTAATTGAATTTTTGAAAACTAACATGGACTGCTTTGCTTGGTCCCACTCCGACATGACAGGAATACCACCGGAGGTGATGAATCATAAACTAAATGAAGATCCGTTATATCCTCCTGTGAAGCAAAAGAAAAGAAAGCAGGGAACTTTCAAGAATCAGGTGATTCAAGAAGAAGTCCAAAAATTGCTAAAAATTGGTTCCATTCGAGAGGTAAAATATCCTAACTGGTTAGCCAATACTGTTGTGGTTCCAAAGAAAAATGGTAAGTGGCGGGTTTGTGTAGATTATACAGATCTTAACAAAGCCTGCCCTAAAGATTCTTTTCCACTACCACACATAGATCAATTGATTGATGCAACTGCAGGTCACGAATTATTAAGTTTTTTAGATGCATATTCAGGTTATAATCAGATTAAAATGGATCCGGGAGATGAAGAAAAAACTTCATTCATAACAGACAGGGGGACTTACTGTTATAAAGTAATGCCCTTTGGTCTAAAGAATGCAGGTGCAACGTATCAGAGGTTAGTTACCAAAATATTTCAGGAATATTTAGGAAAGACAATGGAGGTATATATAGATGATATGCTTGTTAAAACTCAGTACTCAAAAAATCACATATCACACTTATCTGACACATTTTCAATTTTGCGCAAATTTAATATGAAGTTAAATCCCGAAAAATGTGCATTTGGCGTTGCATCAGGTAAGTTTTTGGGTTTTCTTGTTTCTAACCGTGGAATTGAAGTAAATCCTGTACAGATTAAATCCATTGAGGAAATCCCTGACATACTTTCAAACAAGAAAGAAGTTCAAAGATTAACAAAGAGAATTGCGGCCTTGGGAAGATTCATCTCTAAATCATCAGAGAAGTGTTTTAAATTCTTCT